TATAAAAGAGGGAAGTTTCGAATCTAAGATACATAAATGAAAACCTAAATTCATTCGATCGGCTGTCAAAAATTAAATAAGATAATAGATATGAGCAATAAACAAGAATGTGGAGATAGGGTATAATAGTTTGTTTGTGCGAGTGTTTTTTTATTAACTTCTTAGTATAATAAGTACGTCAACGTGCTCTATGCTGGGATCCCTCCTCCGTCCTTAGCAATTTGGCGTTATATAAATGTCAACCCATCACCCGTCCTTCTCTGGGCTTTTGGTACTCTCTCTCTTCGAGTTCAGGGTTGTCCGAGATTTCGAGGCAGGCAGACAGACAACATCAACCATGATTCAGAAGACAATACGCTTTCATAAGTTGGATCGGTCTCTTGGAGTCGGTTCTTCTTTATCTCCATCATCCAAGGTTAATCTTTCGTTAAATTCCTCTGTTTTTTATTTCCTCTGTTTTCGGTTTCCCTTGTTTTAGATTCTATGTTTTATTACATTGTCGCATAATTTTACTATTCTACTCATTTTATAACGTGTGTATCTATTAATTAATCCTATAAATTTATTAGAAATATAAATTATGTCGTTCTCCAATCGAATGGTAAACATAGTCCAATCCATAATTATAGCCTTATAAAAAATTATTTTTTAGTAACAATATCAAACTATATTTATATATCATCTTTAACTGAAGAGGCATACTTAGCCTCTTTAGCCTCTTTAGTATTTTATTAATTTATTAATTAATTTAGTTAAACTATCTACTACTTATAAAGTGTGTAGGCAAATGTGTTCATACATATAAAATGTGTAGACAAATGCTAGTACTATATTAAAATGGGAGCAATTTTGCTACCCGAATCTAATTTTGATATATGCTACCCACATCCTTATAACATGACACATGTCCTATTAGTTAACCATGGTCATATTTTGTCTATTTTAGTATTTTGCATTATTTTAATATCAATTATATATCTTATTAATATTTAATTCAAAAAAATTCGTCTCTTCTCTTTCCAATCTTTACGCTTTCTCTCATCCCTTTGCCCCATCCCACCCAACTGTTTGAGAGCATCCCAGGCTCCCAGCAGTCACCCATTGCAAGCGCAATTGGGTTGATTTGCCTTTTGCTTAGGAAAAACAGCTCCAGCAGTAAAAATAGGAAAAGGCAATTGCAGGGCTTTGGCAGCTGCCCTGCCAGTTCTTGCGAGGGCATGCGCCTGCTTGGAGTAGCATCGGACAAGGCGGAGGCCCACCCCACATCAAGGACCAGAGCCAAAAAATTCCTGTTATTTTTTTATTTTTATTTTTTAAACAAACAATATTATTTATATTAACTGAAAATATCGTGGATTTAGTTTCATAATGAGTTGACAATAATATGGTTCAAATTCGCTTTTGACGAGAATCAAACCTAAGAATTCTCACTTACAAGTGAAGAAGAATATCACTAAACCGTAGTACTAAATAGTCTATTATGTTTTTTAGTTGGACTTGCAAACGTTAATTTGGTGGACAAAAGGTTATAAATATATTATTAAATCAAATATTTTAATCTGCCACTTGCATCTTTATCAACGGCCAGAATTATTCTAAAAGTAGAAAATTAAAAAAAGTTACTAAAAAATAGCTAAAAATTCTAAAGAAATACCAATATTTTTTTTTCTACAAATACCCAATCATATATTAAAAACATAAATAAATAATTTAATAAAATAAAATTTTAAAAATATATTTGTAAATAATAATTGCGCTTGTCTTTGCCTTTCTTCATTCCAAACTGCTAGACATGCACAAAGTCAATTACTGTTTAGAGTGATAGGTAGCGCAATTTTATTACCCTTACCCTTCAATTACCATTGCCCTCTACCAACTCATGGAGATGCTCTGAGAAGCACATCATAAAGATTTGCAATTCCTGAAAATCTCCAACAGCATCAGACAAAAGTTACAAGCGCGTATGAACAAGCTTGAAGCTTTCACGCAAAAACCCATAAATCATGCACATGAAGGCGTTTTTCTCCAAAACCCCTGTGGATTTTCTATACACAGAAGCATCAATGTGACACAGAGGTTGAAATTGCAAAGATTTTCAATGCCCAAAACAGACTGCAGCTGCTAATGCTAGCCCTAGCAAATAGGATGGATATCAGGCCAAGCTTGGCCAGCACGATGGCCCTTGGCCATGTTTTGCCTTTGTGTGCTCCAATGATTATTAGCCCACCTTTCAGCTGAAGAGGAGTTTTGTCTAAATCAGGCCATATTTTGGCACTTTAATCTTTTGGCTCTCTTTACTGGAGATGGTCTTAGTAACACCCCGTGACTTAAGAAACAAATTTTTCTTATGGGAGAATCACGATTGTGATAACATAACTTCGAGTGTTTCGTTGGTTTAACTTCCAAGCATGCATTTTGGTTTCATTAAAAAAATGCTAAAGAGACCACGTACAATGTTATATTACATTTAATTGTATTAGTGGATCCTAATTTTGTTAGACAAGTGGTATACAATGTGGTAGTAAGAGAATGTCCAAAGGAGTTGACAAATTTTTCTTTAAAAATGTATCACTCTTCAACAAACTCTTTAAATTTTATGTTTCAACTTAAAATATTAATTTTCTAACTTTATTTAATCTTGTGGGGCTGAAATTTTATTTCCAAACTCTTTACCCAAAAACCTTTATAACTTTTTAATGGCAGTCCCAAAACAGTTTAAGATGCATTTTTCCTACGTGGCATAACAAATTCAACTTTACTATCTAAATGCTATTTCTCTTAAAGATGCTATAATACAATCTCCTTAGGATCACTTTTTATTCATGATTGCCGACACAAGTGTATTTTATTTAGAGTAATACTAAAGAAATTAAATTTGTAAATAAAACTTTACAAACCAAATAATGTGTCACCACCAATAACAAACGAGCACGTTTATTAACCCTTAAGTGATAATTTAATTATTAACTTTCATATCATGTAATTTATAAGTTTTATTTAAAAATTTAGTTTTCCGAATTATTCATTTGATTAGTCAGAATCACATCGAGTCGTTTTCTTTGGTTAAAACACACTTGGTCAGCCGTCCTTTCTGTCTCATTAGCTGTCAAAGATGATTATTTTTCTACTTTTAATCCTTTTTTATTCTAATTATTTGTCTTGTCTATAATTAGAAGTCATGCTTCTTATCAAGAATAAAATAAAGCAGAAGCCATTGCATTCCTGCTGTGCTTTTTTTTTTTATAGGATTCTCTTGAACAAGAAAAAACAAGAAAAAAACTACTGTTTTCCAAACGTAAACTCATGTATCTTTAAGCATACAAATAAAAACAAAAATTTAAATTATTGGCCTATAATTCTAAATTATTTACAACTTATGCCACAATATCCTAATTATGTTAATCAATCATATTATTACCTACAATAATAGTGAATCTCGTTGAATTTTAATAGGCTTGATTTTAGGTTTTTTTATTCTCAGAAAATTCTTATTTCCGTCTAGCTTTATACTTTTTTAAGCAATCTAACGTTAAAATTCAAATGGTAGGTTCACTATTTGTGGGAGTGAAAATTCTTATTACGAATATTTTTAATTAATTTACCTATATAATTTTTTACGATTACCTAATATGCCTAATATGTCACATCCCGGTTCGGGAGGGATCATTTTTCGGGCCCGCTCCACCACTGTAGCACGATATTGTCCGATTTGGGCCCAGACCACGCCCTCACGGTTTTGTTTCTGGGAACTCACACGAGAACTTCCTGATGGATCACCCATCCTGGGAATGCTTTCGCGCGCTACTTGCTTAACTTCGGAGTTCGCATGGAACCCGAAGCCAATGAGCTCCCAAAAGGCCTCGTGCTAGGTAGGGATGGGAATATACATATAAGGATCACTCCTCTGAGCGATGTGGGATGTCACATAATATATATACATTTTTTTTTTAATAAAAAATGAAACATGCCTAATATATTTAATGATACATGCTAAATAACAAAATGAATGAACGTTAAGGAAACATGCCTCTAAATAATATAAGCAGATTATGAAAATTATATGTTACATATAAATGCAAGTAAATTATTTTAAACACACACATATATATATATATTGATTAAAAAATAAAACATGCCTAATATATGTAAAAACTTATGCAAAATAAAGAAATGTTATTTGACTTAAAATTAATTTAATTATATTTTACATAAAAATCTAAGTCAACTATTTGCACATAAATTAATAATACATGCTAAACATGCTTAATATGCCTAATAAAGTTATCAGGCATATTAGGCTAAGTCAATTGTTAGGCATATTGAGCATCTCCAAAGGAGATGTCAAAATGTTCACATAAGGAATAATGATAAAAAAAGACATCACTAGTATTTTCCAACCGAAATGTCAATTTCTATGTGGAATAACACGGAAAGGTAGCAAAGGAAGTTGTTGTCAAATTTGATGCTCACATTGTAACATAGTATCAAAACAGTCTTATCTACAATTGCATGTATCACATGTTTAATGTTTTCTTGATATCTATTTTCTCGTGTTAATTAGAATCTTGAAGTTTACCGTTGCTTCGGATCTGTACCTAAATCGAATGCAGAACAAGCATGTGATCCATTTGAATACAGGTACGATTAGTAATGCCTCAAAATTTGGTCGATTTAAAATTTCTTGCATACTAGGTTATCATTCATATATGAATGCTTGAAGTAATTCTGCGATATTATAAAAAGCAACTAGCTACTGGTTACCTTGGTAGGTCGACCCAACATTATATGAACACAAATATGGTTGACGAAAACAATGAACTAGAGAATTGAAGATTACATGCTCGAACACATGGTGGCTTTCGTGTTTTTCTTCAGAACATTTGGTTGTCTATGCAAACTAATTTGTATGTTTTTTGATTTCTCTGCATTATTTGTGCAGCTATGATCTTGATAAGCATGAGTATGCTGATGTAGATTGGGACAATCTCGGATTTGGTTTAGTGCAAACTGATTACATGTACATTATGAAATCTTCCAACGACGGGAAATTTGAACAAGGCCAACTTAGTCGTTATGGAAATATCGAACTTAACCCTGCTGCAGCAGTTTTAAATTATGGACAGGTAAGATTTTCAATCGAAATTGGTTAAAACACGCTTGAGATATAGGCTTATAAGATGGATTTTTGTTTTGGGGAAAACATAATTAGATTTCGATAAGTTGAAAATGGCTGACTTAATGTAAACAGGCAATATATGAAGGCACAAAAGCATACAGGAAGAGAGATGGGAAACTCCTCCTCTTTCGTCTAGACCAGAACGCGATTCGGATGAAGATTAACGCCTTCACTGTCAGTTGATCAATTCATTGAAGCTGTAAAGCAAACAGCTCAAGCAAACAAGTGTTGGGTAATTTCCATTTTCATTTTGCATCGGAAACTTTACTTGTTTTCGAGTTAAATCTCTTCCTGGAGTATGGAAATTGTGTATAAATTATTTACAAGTTTACAAATCTGTTCGGTGACTGAAAACAGGTTCCTCCTCCAGGCAAAGGGTCTTTGTATATTAGGCCTCTACTTATAGGAAGTGGCCCCATATTAGGCTTGGCACCATCACCTGAGTACACATTCCTTGTATATGCTTCCCCGGTCAGAAATTATTTCAAGGTTAGCAATACGCTACTTTCACGCAAAAGCGAGCGTTATATTTGTCAATTATAGTAAGATTTATATGCTTGCTATTGTTTTAATAGGAGGGCTCTGCACCCTTGAACATATTTGTCGAGGAGGAGTATGATCGTGCCTCTCGTGGCGGAGCTGGAGGTGTCAAAGGCAGTACCAATTATGCCCCGGCAAGCAGAATAATTACGACCGTTTTGAATTAGGGTTTTCATGTGTTACTAGTTACTACCTGTTGTAACTTGTAACCTGTACTGGATATATGTAGGTTTTGAAGGCACTAACCAGAGCAAAAAGCAGGGGATTTTCGGATGTTCTATATCTTGATTCGGTACACAACAAAAATCTGGAGGAGGTCTCTTCTTGCAACATTTTCATTGTGAAAGGCATTGTAATTTCAACTCCTGCCACGTCGGGGACTATTCTTTCGGGAGTTACTCGACAAAACGTTATTGAAATAGCTCGTGATCATGGTTACCAGGTGACTTTCCGTGCCAGTTGATTACACCATTGCTCATCTTCCTTATGGACTGATTCTAACAATGCCCTCCAAATGCGTTTAGGCCGAGGAACGCGTTATTCCGGTGGACGAATTGAGTGAAGCCGATGAAGTGTTCTGCACTGGAACTGCTGTTGGTGTTGCTCCCGTGGGCAGCATTACTTACAAAGGCCAAATGTGCTATTAGACCTACCCTCTGCACCTATTTTTAAATTCTCGTCTCTGTATTTTGTAGAAAAAGGTATGTAGGCTAAAAATATATTTGTTATTGATACGTGAATGTGGAAAAAATGGAAGAGAATGCAAATGGAAGAGAATGCTTTTTTTCTCATTATCTTTCTCTACAAGATTACAAGGATATATATACATGATACAAGTGTGTAGGTAGGACAAGGTAGCCGTCCTAGTGTGTAGGTAGGACAAGGTAGGACGACTGTAGGACGACTTGACGGCTGTAGGACGGCTAGTGTGTAGGTAGGACAAGGTAGGACGGCTGTAGGACGGCTTGACGGCTGTAGGACGGCTAGTGAATAATATTATATACAATTACACAAGGACTCCAACCATATTCCTTATTTGTCTAACACTCCCCCTCAAGTTGGAGAGTGGATGTCAAGAACTCCCAACTTGCGTAACATACCCGAAAACTTTTCTTTCCCAAGAGGTTTGGTAAACAAGTCTGCCAACTGTTGTGCCGTACCCACATGCTTGGTCTCTATTGTGCCATCTACAATCTTATCTCATATAAAGTGACAATCCATCTCAATGTGACGAGTTCGTTCATGAAAAACAGGATTGGCAGCTATATGTAACGCTGCTTGATTATCACAAAATAAAATGGAAGGACCATCCAAAGGAATGTTCAAATCCTTCAACAAAAAACGAAGCCAAACTATCTCGCAACAAGCACCTGCCATGGCCCTATATTCCGCCTCTGCTGAAGAGAGCGAAACGGTTTTCTGTCGTTTCGTCCGCCAAGAAATCAAAGAACCGCCCAAGAATACACAATACCCAGTAGTCGAACGGCGAGTGATAGGGCAACCTGCCCAATCAGAATCACAAAACGCAGTTAACTTGGTCTGGTTGTCAGAACGAAATAATAAACCTTGACCTGGAGTAGCCTTCAAATAACGAACAATACGAAGCGCAGCATCCATATGAGATATCCTTGGCTCGTGCATAAAACGGCTTAGAACATGCACAGAATAGATGATATCCGGCCGAGTGATAGTGAGATATATTAACCGACCTACAAATCGTCGATACTTTTCAGGATCCTTGAGAAGTTCTCCTTTATCAGATAATTTTGTGTCATCCATAGGAAAAGCAATGGGTCGTGCTCCCAAAAAACCATAGTCCTTGAGAATCTCTAATGCATACTTGCGTTGAGAAATATAAATCCCTTGTTTGGAACGAGAAACCTCAATACCCAAAAAATATTTTAAATCACCAAGGTCTTTTATCAGAAAATGATCACGGAGAAAAGACTTCAGATAATTAATGGCACTAGCATCATTGCCTGTAATCACAATATCATCCACATAAATGAGCAAAGCTGTGAAAGAAATACCAGACTTTTTAGTGAACAATGAATAGTCAGCTTTGGATTGTTGAAAACCGGCAGAAATGATGGCACTAGTGAATTTGGCAAACCATTGGCGAGAAGCCTGCTTAAGACCATAAAGTGACTTGTGAAGGCGACACACAAGATTCTCCCCCTGTCGCCGAAGACCAAGAGGAGGAGACATATAGATTTCTTCATGTAAGTCACCATGTAAGAAAGCATTATTAACATCAAGCTGATGAAGAGACCAAGACTGACTAGCAGCAAGAGCAAGAAGACAACGCACCGTAATCATCTTAGCAGTAGGAGAAAAAGTGTCATGATAATCAATACCTTCAGCCTGAGTGAAGCATTTAGCAACCAAACGAGCTTTGTAGCGGTCAATAGAGCCGTCGAAATTGTGCTTGAGTTTGTACACCCACTTACAACCAATGGGAATTTTGCCAGGGGGCAAGGAAGTTAAAGTCCAAGTACCATTAGCATGTAAAGCTTGAAGCTCCTCAGTCATAGCACGTTGCCAATTGGGGTCAGTGGTAGCCTAGGCAAAGGAGGAAGGCTCCACAGTCCGACTGACAGAGTTAATGTAAGAAAAATGCCTGGGAGAGTAACGGTGATAAGAGAGAAAATTACAAAGTGGATATCGCGTACCTTGTGTAGAACCGGGTTGCGAAGTCGAAGATGGGTGGGATGGCAGAATCACCTGCGAGCAAACGTAGTCTTTTAAATAGGATGGAGGTTTATGGGCACGGGAAGAAGTGCGGGGAAGGGGAGGATTGGTAGGTAGTGGGGGGGTAGGGATGTCCGTGGGTAAAGGGGCATGGGGAGGAACGGGTAATGGGGCAGCAAGGGAATCTGTGGGAGGCGTGGAAGGGGAGGAAGGTGGAGGAGGGTGAGGCGTCGAGGCAGGAAGGGGTGGGTTATATGTAAAGTTCAGAGGGGGTGGGATGGGTAGGGTAGGCGAAGAGGATGGGATAGGAGGGTGAGAAACGGCATAAGGGAAAGTAGTTTCGTGAAAGATGACGTCTCGACTAGTGAAAATGCGGTGATTGTCGAGATCGTAAAGGGTATAGGCCTTTTTTCCATGAGGATAACCGAGAAAAATGCAACGATGAGCCCGAGGGGAAAATTTGGTGGTGGGAGTGACAGAGGTGGTATATGCCAGACAACCAAAGACGCGGAAGTGGTCATAAGATGGGGTTTTCGAAAGGAGAACCTCAAATGGGGATTTATGATGGAGAAGACGGGTAGGGAGACGATTGATGAGATAAGTAGCGGTAAGAACACATTCCCCCCAAAACTTGATAGGAAGATGGGATTGAAAACGAAGGGCGCGAGCGGTTTCAAGAAGATGACGATGTTTTCTTTCAACAACGCCATTTTGTTGGGGGGTATAAACACAAGAAGTTTGTAAAAGCACCCCATGATCAGAGAAAAAACTACGAAGAGATAAAAATTCACCACCATTGTCAGTACGAATGCATTGGATGGTAGTGCGGAATTGGGTAGTGACATAAGCAAAAAAATCCTTAATTAATTGTTGAGTGTCGGATTTATGTTTCATGAGGAAGACCCACGTAAAGCGAGAAAAATCATCCACAATGGTTAAGAAATAATGAGCACCAGAAAGAGAAGATTGACGATTCGGGCCCTAAATATCACAATGAATTAAAGCAAAAGGGAAAGTTGATGAAATTGAACTCAAAAGAAAAGGTTGACGAGTTTGTTTTGCCAACGGACAAACATCACAAATATTACTAGAATCAAAAGTACAATTAAGAGAACTAGATGCTAAACCTTGCAAACGAGTGGAGGAGGGGTGACCAAGACGCCTATGCCAGAGGGAGGAGGGGATGGTAATGATGTTGCAGAGAGGTTGACGGGTGGGGAGAGAAGAGGTAAGGGCCACAAGGTAATACAGATCGCCACGTCGCTTACCCACACTAATCATCGCCTTCGAAACCAAGTCCTGCAAAACACACCAAGAAGGAAAGAAGGTTATGGAACACAATAATCCATCTGTAAGTTTACCAACCGATAAAAGGTCCACTCGGAAATTAGGGACACATAAAACATCCTTCAAAGTAACTGATGAATTTAAAGGAAGAGTGCCGGTAAAAGTAATGGGAGCGGAAGCACCACTAGGCAAAGAAACAGGCGGCAAATATGAAGGAGAACGATTAACCAAACATGAGGCTGAAGAAGTAATATGATCCGTAGCACCACTGTCAAGAATCCATTGACCATGACGAGAGGTGACAGGTAACAAACCTTGGGCAAAATCAGTAGTGAGCACGGCATTGGCCTGAGGAGGGATGGTGGTGTCACGTAGAGCAGCTAGAACACGGGAGTGCTGCTCGGCAGAGAGGTCAGGCATGGCAAGCTGCAAGTCATGCAAAGTGGGCTGGGCCCCGTGCATTTGGTGGGTCGCTGGAGTAGAAGAGGAGGCGGGGGCCTGGGTGCCTTGCACGTGATGGGCCTGGGTGAAATTATGGGGCCGGGAAGCAGAAAACCGTGGCTGCCGGGGAGGACTGGAAGGTGCATGGTTGCGGGAAGAACTGGAAGCAGTGGCACGGCGCGGTGGTCGCCACGGTTGGCCATGGAGGGGATGGCCAACGGGATAACCATGAAGTTTATGGCAGGTGTCTCGGGTATGATAATCAAAATTGCAGTAGGTGCAGTGGAGGGGAGGACGAGCAGAGGAGGGACGGGACGGGCCACGAACAGCCATGGCAGCAGGTTGATCGACAGAGCGGAAGACGCCCAGGGAGCGTTGTTTTTCAGCTTGAAACACCGAGGAACAGGCCTGACGAACAGTGGGGAGGGGATTCATTAAAAGAATCTGGTCACGAACAGCAGCAAAGGATTCGTTGAGGCCCATTAAAAATTGCATGAGTTGTTGACGGTCATGCTTGGCGTTGCAAGAGCACGTGCAGCCATCATTATAAGAAGCAAGCTCATCCCAGAGAGCTTTCAGGCGAGTAAAATAGGCCGAGATAGAAGAAAAACTTTGAGAAATTGTAGCAAGTTCCCGGTTGAGTTGGAAGATGCGTGGAGCATTACTTTGAGAAAAGCGTTCGTGAAGATCATCCCATACAGCTTGGACAGAGGTGGAAAAAAACACAGATTCTTGAAGGTCAGGTTCCAAGGAATGCAGAAGCCAAGAGAGAATCATGTCATTGCAACGACGCCAAGCCGCGTAAGCATCAGGGTCGTCGGAGGAAGAAGGTTCTTGGATATCGCCAGTGATGAAACCAAGTTTATTCTTGGCACTCAAGGAAAGCTGCATGCCACGAGCCCAGGATGTGTAGTTATCACCATTCAACTTCTTGGATACAAGGACAAGATTCGGGTGGTCGGAATGATGAAGGGAAAAAACACCATCGGAAGAAGAAGAGTCAGCCATGGGAACGGCAGAGAAAACTGCCGAAAAAAAAAAAAATTAAGGCTAGGGTTATAAACCTGCTCTGTATACCATGTAGAAAAAGGTATGTAGGCTAAAAAATATATTTGTTATTGATACGTGAATGTGGAAAAAATGGAAGAGAATGCTTTTTTTCTCATTATCTTTCTCTACAAGATTACAAGGATATATATACATGATACAAGTGTGTAGGTAGGACAAGGTAGCCGTCCTAGTGTGTAGGTAGGACAAGGTAGGACGGCTGTAGACGACTTGATGGCTGTAGGACGGCTAGTGTGTAGGTATGACAAGGTAGGACGGCTGTAGGACGACTTGACGGCTGTAGGACGGCTAGTGTGTAGGTAGGACAAGGTAGGACAGCTGTAGGACGGCTTGACGGCTGTAGGACGGCTAGTGAATAATATTATATACAATTACACAAGGACTCCAACCATATTCCTTATTTGTCTAACATATTTGGATTAGATTAGAATACCACTTGAAGAAAAATATACTTACTTATGCTCATGTGCAGGATGGAGTACAAAACTGGTGTTGAGAGTGTATGTCCACAACTTTACTCAACCCTAGTAGGAATTCAAACGGGACAGATTGAGGATAAGAAGGGCTGGATTATGGAAATTGACCGAGCTTTTTTTACCCACAACAACATTTCAGATTAAAATTTAAAAGAAAAAATTGCTGTCATGATCCACACTTTGCCAATTGTACAGACTGCAGAATACTACTTTTTTTTTTTTTTTTTTTTTTGGGGGTTATCCAGTTTATCAGTTTTTTGTGTTCAATTTATCTTTTGATTATCATTCAAAAAAAGAAAAAAAAAAGAAAGAGAAATTATCTTTGATTATTCATTAAACAAAACCCCATTTGAATTATCTAATTAGGCTTTTTTTTCTTTCTATATTGTATTATTGATAGACTCATATTATAATGCTGCCACATAGTATTATAACTCGCAAATTTATAAATTAATACTATCAGATCTAGGTTGAGGGATTTGATTGGAACTTATCTCAAACCAATCACACGATACCATATGAGAAACTTAAAACACATGAGTAGTGTTGTTAGTTCAAAATGGCAGAATAACGTCTCAAAAGGTGTGTGTAAGTCATTCTCTAAAAGCAATTCCACCCCTAAAGACTTTGCACCAGCACCCAGCTTATTTATCCACTCAAGTGAACAGTAATAGACTCTAATGTACAGTAATAGGCCAAAACATCTCCATCCCTAAAAATCTGTTGGCACCCAGTCCATCTAATATTATATTATTTTAATCATATCAATTAATATTTTATCATTTTATTTATTTGTTCTTTTTTCTTCCTTTCTCTCGAAAGGTCTAGCATTTTTGTTTCCTTCCCACTGCTTCCATTCCTTCTCCGATCCTTTCTCCCCTTATTTCTACGACCAACCGTCTCTCTCCCCACTCTTTTTTTCTCCCCTTTTTCTCCATGTTTTCTTCTTCAAATGAGGAAGTTGATTATGCACCTTATTTCATTTGGATCGATGCTGGTCTTTCTTCTTGTTCCTTGAATCAGAGAGAGCTATCTCTACCCGGTCTTTGCACGAAGCAACCGGAGCCCCAGGATTGGCGGAGTGGAAATCGGGAAGAGGAAGGAGGGATTTAAGATGGGGTGTAGATGAAGAAGGCGTACAAGTGTATCAGATGGGGTTCCAGGGATCGGGAGGCGTTGGAGGCACGACAGAGAGTGATGGAGGTGGAGATTGCGGTGAGGGTGCAAGTGGAGATTATAGAAAATAAAATTAAAAAAGGCCCATGACGTCACGCTAGCGACAACATGGCGTCATAAGGCCCGGCTCATGCCTCTATCGATTTTGGGCTGGCTTGGAGACCAGCTTGGGCTGGGTGCCGGTCAAAATTCTGGGCTGGAGTGGTTTCACTGGGTGCCGGACTGGCTTTTTGGCTGGGTGCTGACCTTTCTCACCCTCGATGGAACTGCTCTAAGTCTGACCTTGTTGTTCACTCATATTGTAACAAGTCAATTATTTGCCTCACGTGATGGTGTTGTCATCAATCACATTGAAAAACTTAAAACACAAAATGTCTGGACTCTCAAAAAAACGTGTAACCAAATTGTGTGTTAGTCATATCATATTGAGGTCATCATCTCCATATTCATATCATATTAAATGTATTGTTCACATGTATTATAACAAGTGGCATGGATTGAGACGAATCACTCTTAAAAGTCAAATGCTAGGTAAATCATTTTTTGTAAAAAAATGAATTCAATCATCAAATACCATCGTCTGATCTACAAAACATAATCTAAAAAAAAATACTATATAATCTAAAAAGATACTATCTCTGGCATAACTATTTGAGAAAAATTATAAAAATGGTTCTTCAACTTTAATCTAATTGGAGTAATAGTCCCTCAACTAAAAATACATGATCATTGGTTTCTTAATTCATCAAAACGTGCAAATATGGTCATTTTCGTCAAATCTGTTAGAATTCCGTCAAAATGAGTCATGTTTGAAGGATCATTGCTACAATTAGGTTAGAGTTGAAGAATTATTTCTCCAATTAGGTTTAAGTTGAGTGACACTGCTAAAAAAATTTCATTTGGTTTTCCATATTTCCTCCTTGACTCATCCTCACGTGCGTGACACGTGACTCATTTTGAAGAAAGTTTTAACAGAGTTGGAGAAAAGGATCATAACTACACGTTTTGATGAGTTAAATGATCAATGATCATAAATTTTTAATTAGGAGACCATTGCTGCAATTAAATTAAAATTGAGGAACTGCTACAATTTTCTCCTAACTATTTCTTATAAACTTGCTTGCAGAGCGCACAATGGGTAGCCTCTAACCCTAGGTAAAAAAACCTGTGATTTTTACAAGGATCAAGACGCCGTTTCGTTTCGAATTTTTACCGTGAGAGTCCAAATAAAACTGTGATTCTTAAAGTTTTACATACATCTTCTTCTTCCTTCTCTCAAATTTTGCCGCCACTTTCTCTCATAAAGGTACCTCCTTGTCTCATCACACAACTCTCTTCCGCTTTGTAAATTGCTAAAAGCCTTTTCCTTTTTCTCAACTTTTTTTTCAGGCGTTCTCTCTCTCCTCCCTGCAGTGTTGAGCGCGCCATTGCAGAGAAGCCATGAAACCCTCCGCTGCAGAAAAAGCCTTGCACTCTGCCAAACCTCACATAGAAGAAATTAGAACCAAAAAGTTCTCCATCGGAAAAACAAGGCCAAACCCCTTAACTCTCGACCTCCACCACGCCGTCACTAGCCTCTCTGCTGAGCTCTACCAGAAAGACATCCACTTTCTAATGGAGCTCATACAGGTATATTGCTTAGTTTCTCAGAAAAAAAAAAAAAAGTGAAAAAGTTTCGATCTTTACGATACTAGCATCGATGAAACTTGAAAACAAATTGTGGGTTTCTATTTTTGTGGATTTTAATTTGTGGGTTTGTCTTCTGGTGGATTTTTATTTGTGGGTTTTCGATTTTCAGAATGCGGAAGATAATGAATACAAAAAAGGGTTGAACCGACGCTGGAATTTGTCCTGACAAAGAAGGACATAACTGGCAGTGGAGCTCCGGCTACTCTGCTTGTTTTTAACAATGAGGTCGGATTTTCCCGGAGCAACATTGATTCCATATGCAGCGTAGGCCGTTCTCCTAAGAAGGGGAAAAGACATCTCGGGTTTATTGGAGAAAAAGGTAAATTTATTAGCAAACTAAATGTGGAGATTCTTGATGATGAGATTATAGGGTAGTGATTTTTTCACTTCCCGTGTTCTCTTTCTACGCTCCTCCCTTGTTTCTGTCCTTGATTCTCGTTTGATTGAGGGAGGAGTGCAGGGGGAGAAAAGGGGAATGCGAAAATCACTTCCCAAATTCTTAGGGAGGATGGATTTTCTGCAGATATTTTCTACGTTAGAAAATAACTTTATGAATTTCATTCATGTTTTTATAAGAGCATAGTCTTCGATACCTTTGTGAACTGTTGATTATCATATTAGAGTTGTAATGTCGTGGTTGCTTGCTGCAGGAATTGGGTTTAAAAGTGTGTTTCTTGTAAGTTCACAACCTCACATATTCAGCAATGGATATTAGCAATGGATATTGAGTCAAATTCAGGGAAGAACCGAACAAAGATTGCAGTATTGGATACATTGTTCCTGAATGGGTTAGTGGGGAGCCTGCTCTTTCGAGCATACTTGATGTATATGGTGTCACCAAGGTCGTGCCGGCAACTACAATTGTCCTTCCTCTAAAGCCTGAGAAGGTTGAAACAGTGAGGGCACAACTATTGCGTTTGCATCCTGAGCTTCTTCTTTTCTTATCCAAGGTAAACCGGGTATATGTACGTGGGTGTGATCCCAAAGCAGCCAATGGTGTCACAACAATTTCTATATGCACCGGGACTGATCTTATGAATGTCTGTGATAAAACCGCCAATGCACGTGTTATTGAACTTTTGGTTAAAGAAAAAATGGGTGCCAGTGAGGAGAAGTGCAAGTATTACTTACGGAGACAGGCATTTCCAGTAAAACCTGCTAATAGAGTTAATACTAGGATGAATGTGGAGGAATGGGTGATCACTCTTGCTTTCCCATTTGGAAACAGACTGAGAAGAGGTACTTCTTTTGTCGGTGTATTTGCTTTCCAGCCTACAGCCATGGTCACAAGCTTTCCCTTTGTAATTCAAGCTGACTTCATCCTTGCTTCTTCAAGTGGATGATGTATGGAATCTGGGAATTCTTGAATGTGTTCCATCGGCGTTTGTTAATGCTTTTGAGTCTTGTGTGAAAGAGCTCTCCCTGTTTCCTTCAGTGGGTCAGGCATTTCAGTTCATACCAACTCAAGCATCACCAATTCCGGTGTTTAATAAATTAACAGAGTCCATCAAAACTAGACTGCAAGGTCTCGAGATAGTACCCTGTGAAATATTTTCTGGCGAGAGGTTGTTTTTCCAGCCTAAAGAAGTAGTTAGAATCATACATAAATTCAGGGACCTCTTAGTTCGAATTAGAAGGGAAGGGGTTGTTTTAAGTGGTTTATCTTCATTGATGAAAGTCTCACATTCATCTCTGAACTTTCAAGAAACAAGAGGAGTTATGGACTATCTAGGTGTAGTATATGCTTCTTATAATTGGTATGCACAATGCATTAAATCCTGCAATATTGTGTTGCAAGTATCTGATGATGTCTACATTCAACTGCTTGGTTTTATTGCTGATACTTATAAGGATTCATCGTCCATACAATCATTAAGTACCATGCCTCTTCTTAAATACATCAATTGTGACGGGAATATGGAATTGCGTACAATTCCTAATACAACACCCAAGATTGTATATAGTGTGGAGCTGGAGATTCACACATGGCTGAGTAAGTGCAATATGGAGTTTGGATGTCTTGGTAATTTTTATTTCTTGCCCAATAGCACTCGGGAAGCACTTTTAACTCACAAAAGAAGTTCATTTCTAATCGAATGGCTTTCCAGAAATGCAGGTTTAAGTCCTTGTTCGGCAACAGAATTTGTTTCCTGGCTTTATCCTTACTTATCATATAAGGAACCACTTCTTCCAGTCGCCTTGGTCCATTTCCTTTATCATGCCCACATGAAAAACATCATTGATGATTCTCAATTGTATTCCCTTCTCACGGTGATCCCAATTATTGATGGGACTAACCAAGTCAGAATGCAAAGAATTGCAACTCTTGTCTCGGCATCAAGGAGCAAATGGGTGAAGTTGTTGGGACCTCTAAATCCATTCGTGGGACAATATTACATTGATATAGGAGATGTTTATTCTAAAAGTAGTATGCTTCTTGGAGAATCTGTGCCTCAGGATGAACTTCTTCACTTTGTTGTTAAGTTCAGTAAAGCTGTGGACATTCCCGAGTTATGTCCTCCAGACGTGGTGTTACAGATAGCATCTCATGAACTATCAAGTGAGAAGGCCTTTTTGTTGCTCGACTGGATCAGATTACTTCGAACCAAGGGTTCTTTACCTACAAGATTCCTTGAAAGCATTCGAAATGGAAAATGGATGAAGACATACTTGGGTTATTGTACCCCAAGACAGGCCATTCTTACAAACGAAACAGGGGAAGGTATTTTTGATATGATGAAGCATATTCTGGAGGATATCTCGATTTTGGACATGGAATTTTACATTGATCGAATCATGCTTTATCAAGATGAATTGGAATTCCTTGGTGTGGGGATTAGATCAGTAGATGTGCAGAGATTGGTTACCGATCGCTTTAGATCTCTTGCTTCTCCTGGAATGAGCAAAGAGTATGCATTTTCTTTGCTGACTTTCATTACTTTCTCTAAAGCGAGGGGTATGCTTGATATGAATTGGTTGGCTGTTATGAAGGAGAAGAAGTGGCTGAAGACTCATAAGGGCTATAATGCTCCCAAGGTATCTATCATCTTGCCTTCTGAGATAGACACTCAATCCTGCTTGAAAGTTACAGATCTTCCTATTGTTGACGATGCTTTTTATGGGACAAAATTAAGCTGTCTGTTATCTGAATTAAGGCTACTTGGGGTAATAGATGATATGAAAAAGGTGCTAATATTGATTGCAGAGAATCTGACTTTACCTGCAGATCAATAAATGATATGAAAAGGTGCTAATATTGATTGCAGAGAATCTGACTTTACCTGCAGATCCATCTTCCAGGACGAGTAATTGCTTTTTCTTGATTCTTAAATGTATCAGATCTTTAGGCTCTGAAGCTGATGGATTGATTGAGAGAATTTTGGTTTTAGATGCCCTGCAGAGACTGTTCTTGATTCTTAAATGTATCAAATTTTGTTAAATGTATCAGGACGAGTAATTGCTTTTTCTTGATTCTGAAATTTTGCTTTTTCTTGATTCTTAAATGTATCAGGATGAGTAATTGCTTTTTCTTGATTCTTAAATGTATCAAATTTTGGTTTTAGATGCCCTGCAGAGACTGTTCTTCTCCCTGACGCTATATGGGGTTCTTTGTTGAGTACTCTTGAGGTTCCTGCGATAGATGAATTGTATTACAGGAATGAAATTAAGCATTTTGTTGATGAATTGAACGCAATGGGAGTGGGAGTTGATACTGCCAGAGCAACTGACTTGGTAGCTACTCAGTTTGATTCTCTCTTGCATTCTTCTAGCGGCTTGGCTCCTGAGACAGTGATGGCACTGCTAGGTTGCATTCGAGAACTGAGTCAAACAATGCCTTTACCATGTCCTGAACTGACTTGGTTGTCGTCTGAGCAGTGGTTGAAGACACGACATGGTTATAGAAGTCCTAGCGAATCAATTATTTTCAGCTCAAAATGGGGGTCAATCTCGTGGTTTGTTGATCTTCCTATCATCGATGATACAAACAATGGCATCGGAATATATAAGTTCAGGGATGAACTTCAGAAGTTAGGTGTCATCACAGATTTTGAAGGGGGAGCTCTGTTTGTAGCTAAAGGTCTCCGTATCCCCTTCGAAGCTGAACTAGTTGGTGCAGATGGTATGGTATCATTGCTAGAATGCATCAAGTCTCTGATGTCAAGGCCTCCTGATGAGCTTTTACTGACTGACTTTCTCAACAACATTGCAAAAAGCAGGTGTTTGAAGACTGGGGCTGGTTACAAAACGCCGGAAGAGTGCATTCTGTTTGATCCAGCTTGGGAGAGTATTTTGAAGAGGTCCGATGCACCAAAAATTACAATTGATGAAAAGTTTTACAGAACTGATATTTTGGCATACAAGGATCAGTTAAGAGGTATTGGTGCGAATGTGGATCCCTTAGGTGTTTGTTCTCTCATTTTGGGGCTTCTATTTTCACTCACAGATACATCTTCAATTACAAGAATTTATAGCTTTCTCAGTAAGTTCCACTGGCACCCAGAAGCAGTGAGCAATTTGCAGGTGTGGATACCTAATCCAAATGGTACAGGTGTATGGGTTAATTCTCAGGATTGCGTACTTTATGATAGGAAAGACCGGTTTGGCTCCTGCTTGTTTTGTCTTGAAAACTTTTACACCAAAGAGATCCTACCCATTTTTTCTTCAGCCTTTGGAGTGGCTGAAGATCCATCAACCAAAGATTACTTGCAGCTATGGAACAGCTGGGCCTTGAGGGGTAATGGGCAAGTGACTTTGGAAGAATGCAGCTTCTTTTGGGAATATGTTTTCGATAACTGGAATCCTGAATTGGAGGATACTCTAAAGGGGAGCTTGACCAAATTACCTGCTACAATGTCCGTGGCCGAGGATATATTTCTGATCAGCACAGGTGAAGTTTTCATTGGAGATGACTTGCAACTCAAGAAAAATTTCTCTGGTTTTGATAAGGCTCCTCTGTTTGTGTGGTTTCCACATAGCAACTGCTTGCCATCAGTTCCTCCGATAAGACTTTATGAGTTTTACAAGTCACTCGGAGTTAGAAAGCTTTCTGAATCTGTTGAGTGCAACGTGAGTCATACACTATCATTGGAGCACTGGGAAAAGGTTGATCCAAGCGAAGGGTTAATAAGGAGGGGTTTAATGAAGATTATTCTGGGTTTTCTTGCTCGTCCTCATGTAAACATGCCCTTGAAGAGGAGACACAAGGCTGCAAAATCTATACTTGAACTGTCAGTGTACAAAGGTGACAAGCCGAATCAAGTCTGCTATCGGCTAATGCAATCTGCAGGTACAGTAGTGGAAGTAGAGAAACTAAAGCTGGTTCTTTGGGAGAAAATTCGCAGTGCTTGCTCATTAAAAAATCAGCCTACGAAAGCGGAAAAACTGATATAGAATTTGCCACTTGTTTTGCCGATGAATTGGCGCAAGGGATGTTAGCGCAGACAACACACACTGCTGCAGATACCTTGAGCAGGATTATCCAAATGGGATTCATGTTTGATTTCAATGAGAATGACGTGGACTTTTTGCTGTTGGAAGAAAATTTAGAGTTATTTGTTGAAGATGCACTGTTTCTTGATGCTGCATTCCTCCCGTCAGGAGGAGGTACTGGTCGTGTTTATCTAAAGCGTTCGTGTAAGAAGTCGGAGCTATTAGAACCTCTCACGCCAATGGAGCCATGCAAGAAGCAGCGTCAGGGATGAAGGGGCAATGATCCTAATCACCAGGTGAGTTTAACTTGGACAGTAAGCCAGAGCAATTGTGTGCTTGTGCAAGAGTTTAATCTGGACATGCCTCTACTTTGTTATTTCTGTTTGTCACTTTGAAAACTTGTTAATTTTCATGTTGCAGCAGAGATGTATCAAGGAGGAGTGTCAAAAAACTGCACTGGATTCTCAGGAGCTGCAAGATGCATATATGGGAGTTGTTCAATATATGCTCTCTTTTTTTTGGAACTTTTGGTCCAATTATTAAGTAGTTATTTATTTATTTATTTTGTAAAGGTATTATTGAATGCCTAAAAACTTGTCTTATCAATGGTAAACTGGAATTCGAACTCCCTTTAATCCTTTTTTTTCTTTCGAATTTTGAATTGAATGAATCAATTGAGAATAAAGAAGAGGCGTGGAGAAAGAAAAAAAACGAGAGTGTGAAAATTGCGTACATTTTTGTCCGGACCAGAATTAGTCTTCGATTGTGAGGCACAAAATGCTTTTGTCTGTACCAAACAAGTTCATCATCTCCGGCTAAAAAACAAGAAAATAACCAACCAATTCAAGTATGTTATCGACGGTGTTTCTCGCTGGGAAACATCACGGAAAAAATAAGGCTCAAAATGTACCGACGATGTTTCTTGCCGGAAAGCGTTCGAGTGTACGCAAGCAAGCAACCAATTCAAGTATGTTATCGACTAGTGCCATCTGCGAGTACGAAGTAGAAAAGTTAAAGCGTGTTCTTGGGGAGAAGAATTTGTCACTTCTTTCGCTGACGAACTCGTACAGGGAAAACCTACTGCAGTAGATACATTGAGTAATATTATCCAAGTTGGATTTTTTGCAGATGAAGCACAACTTGGAGCTGTTAGTGGCGGATGTGCAGTTTCTTGATAACGCATTCCATGCGACCGGAACACCTGCTGTTGGTATTTGATACAAAAGGCGTGCAGATGAGAAGTCGGAGCAGTTAGGCCCTTCCACACCAATGCCTTCAAGCAAGAAACCCACGGCAGTGAAACGGAGCGGACGTCCTTGCTCTTTTTGTTCAGACCTTGAAGCGTCAGGATTCAGGGTCTTGAAGTTTTATTTTGATGCATTTAGGTATTGTATATATGACGGTCTACATGAGACTACATTTGAAGTCCTAGCGAGAAATTTCATCCCAATGAGCCGGAAAATGGAACTAAATCCGCCACTTAGTCTGACAACTTCCTTCCTCAAGTAATAAAAAATTAGGCTACATCCAGCTCAAAAAAAACTATGGGTCTCACGAGAAAAGTAGCAATCCATGTGAGCCATATTCTGCCACTCTCCCTCACTTGCGAATACACTTATACTCTCATTTTATTTATTATTTTAATTATTTTTGTTTTTATGTATTTTTATTCCAAAGGTCCTCCATTTTGTTTGTATGTTTAATGCTTAAGACATAAAATGACATAATATGATGTATTAAGGGGGCTTACTTTTATTAACTTCAAAATAAAAACACACTACATATTGAAATGACATTGGTAGTTTAGAGACCTAAACTAAAAGCATAAACCAACAACGTATCAAATTATAGGGGCATTACAATTTAGTTATTTGAAAGCATAAACAAGCAAACAGACCTAAATTGTAAAGTCATTACAAAAGAGTTATTTAAAGAGAGGTTTAATGAAAATGGTTTGGATTAAGTTCATTTTAATGAAAAATCATCCACTAACTTTATTTAATAAAAAGAGCCTAAAATTTAATGAAAAATGACAACATACAATATAATAAGAACAAAAACTAAAACTCATAAGTAGAAAACAAGCTGTGTGCAAAACAATTTTTTCTTTCTTTCCAGCCTATGCCCATGACGGAAGCTCAATTCTGTCCGTCAGTCCAATTCCTCTAATTTGTTCGTCAACCAACAAAAAGTCTTCTCAATTCATGATATTTTGAGAGCGAGAAAGGTAGATGAAGAGAGAGAGAAAATATTATTTTATGTTAAATTTTATTTTTTAATTATTTTAATGGTGAAATCTAATGGGAATTGATGGAGGACGTAGAAATACACGTGGCTCGTCGAGGCAGTAGAAAGTCTACATTTTTTTTATTTGAATGTGTGTGATGTGACATGTGAGAAGTCCTTCTTTCCTTCCCATCTTATATGATATATTGTACTAATTAAATTGGACTATGGAACCAGTCAAGCTCAGTTACATATTCTTCCTTTGTCTCCATAGCCATATACTTTTTTACTTGATGAACATTATTCATATATAATTAAATTTAAATTGATTTTTTTTTTTTAAGTATATCGATATTTTTACATTAAAAGGAGGAAGAGTTCGGCTAAGCCACACAATAGATAGCCTAATTTGGTATCGAATTCGCCATCCACAAGATTCGAACCTAAGACCTCATACTTCGAAGTGAATAAGAAAACCACCAGACCGTAATAGTGAGTGACAATTGATTATGTCTTTTAATTGGCCCAGGTTATGTCTTTTAATTTTGGGGTGATGGGGCTTGAAAGTAGCTTCAACTACATTTATGGCGTGCATAAAAACTTGTAAATGAAATTAGAGAAACTAAAATGAGATGTAAGAATTGCTTATTTACTAATTTATAAACTAGTAAGCAAAATGAGAGGAATTAAATTGAGAAGGGTCTCCTGACCAGTGGCTAGTTGTTTGATTTAGGAAGAAATTATATTACTGGACCAAGAATATGTGCAATTTTGGCTAAACAAATATTTTTTTTGTTCGATTGGTGCACTCAATATATGAATATATATATATATATATATATATGTAAAGCTTATGTGGGGGCCTTATTATACAAAATATTCAATTAGAGTAAATGTGACAATCAAATGAAAACATTAGCAAGCATTCACTACTTCTAGAACTGAATACGGTATTATCATTATTTCTTAAACTAAACACTGATATTATTACTATTTTTATTACTATTTTTTAATTGAACACAAATATTACACAATTTCTAAAACTAAATACGGGTACCATCACTATTTCTTAAACTGAACACGAACTATTTTTGAAACTGAGTATGGGTACTACACTATTTATGAAACATATTATTTTTGAAACTAAACACTGGTATTATACTATTTATGAAACTGAATACAATACTACACTATTTATGAAACTTACCATTTCTAAAACTAAACATGGATACTATACTATTTCTAAAACTAAACACGGATACTACATTATTTTTGAAACTAAATATGAGTACTACACTATTTCTGAAATTAAACACGATTATTGCACTATTTCTAAAACTAAACACAAGTAGTGCACTATTTCTGAAACTGAATATTTTTTAAACTAAACGCGGGTAGTGCACTATTTTTGAAAATAAACATAGCTACTACATTATTTCTGAAATTGAACATTGATATTATCACTATTTATTAAACTCGACATTGATGCAATTTTCCCTTGATAATATGATTCTTTTGAATTATAATTAACTGTTTTTTCAATTACGAACACAACGCGCTCATATGCTAGACAAATAAGTAAATAATTTTTACTCTAATGTTAAAGTATAGGATGTGTATCTTTTACTAATTTGTTTGAATACTCCATTAATTTACGGTTTTTATGTAAGGGCTTTCAATTTTACAAATTGCAAAGACACATAATTTGCATAGCTAGGGACATATTTGATTCTAAATATGACAAGTTGTAAAGCAATTCTTATAGGATGAGTCGGCCCAAGTTACGTTGCAGTGAGGGGCATGCAATCTCCTTCGGGTTGCTACCAATTTGCTAAACTAATATAGCTTACACCAAATGAAGACATTTTAATTCCTTCAAACTGCTTTTAAAAAAATAAATTAAATTAGAGGATCCTTACCAATAGAACAACAGAAAAACAAAGAGGAAGACACTTCGTATTCCGAAGAAAATTGAGGACTAATTTATTGATCAAGTTGCAATCAGCATATATATTGAGATTCAAAAATCAAATCACAGCCACAACATAGAAATTGCAAAGAAAATAATATAAAATAAATTGATGGTGGGTTTTACAAATTTCAAGACAAATGGTTTTAGAACTTTAAAAAAATTAGAAAAGAAAAAAAAAAAAAAACCTTCAAATTGATGATCTTGATTCTAAATGTGCCATAAACAAATAAGGGGTTTGTCGGAAAATTTACACACCTCTGGCTCTTCTACTTTGCTCAAATCGAGCTCGGCGACGACAAGCCATGGCTCAATCTCACATACTCGCTCATCAGCATCTTCTCCACGATGCTGGGGCAAGCTCTCATTTCCCAGGTCTCGTTTCTCTCTCCATCTCCTTCTATAAAATCTGTTAATTCCACACAAAATGTATAATTTGATTACACCTATTACTTGGTATTGGCCATCAATTGCATTTTTAGTAATTGGAATGGCATTTGGTGTAGATGAAGGATGATGGCGATGTTGCCGATTGATTTCGAGCAATTTCGAAAAATTTGTGATGTTGAAGAGTTTTATGAAGCTTTAGAGGAGAAACCCAAGATAACATTTATCGAGCCACCCTACATTCAACATCTCCATCAAACATAAGATCAAGCAAAAAAAAAAAAAAAAAAAAGGAAAAGATATAAGAAAAAACCATGGACTTGAAAAGCAAGGTTTTCGTGGTTTTCTTGTTGTGAGTTGAAAACCACGGAGCTGAAGCAAACACCAGCTAGGTCTGAGGAGAGGTAGAGCCAACAGTGAGGGTTTGACGTTAGGGGCCAAAACTGACGTTAAGGGTAAAATCGGAAGTTTGATAAATTATTTTGTTTGGGCCAGTTTTATTAGACTGATTTGATATTGGGTTTTGTAATAACTATTAAATAAAGTTAGTATATGGTTTTTTTTGTTAAAATTCAAAAGTATTGAAACTTTTTTCATTAGTTTTCTTTTATTTAAATGCTACAAACACAAGACTTGGCCTATATGTGCATGTTCATTCCACCATGTGCAATTAAATTACTTCAGAGGTTGAAGTGAGAATTTGTACCTTTCAACGGATGAGATTGAGATGAGAGAATCTAATCGGTTTATAGATATTGAAATCTAATTTTTGTCAGAATTTTTTTAGGTTGAAAAGCTCATAATTTTTTTAAGATAACATGTTAAAAAATCAACTTAAAAAAAGTTAACACACACAAAAAAAAAATTATTACCTAATTAAATTACTACATAAATAAATATAGGGGGCGTTTGTTGCGCCGGACTATCTCGGACTGGATTAGTTTCAAGGACTAAGCTGGACTGGCTTAGATTAGACTAAACTGGATTAACTTAGTGAAGCGTTTGGTGCAGTATTGGACTAAGAAGCTGGATAATAACAAATTCTAATATT